GGAAAGAACGGCAACACATTCAAACAAGCCGGTTGCTGAAGCGAGCAAAACTCTCATAGATAGAAGACTAAGAAGACTATACATTTGTCCAGCAGCGCTATGGGAACAATCGACAGCGTTGCGCTGAAAAATTATGGGATATTTTCGTATAACTGTTGAAGCACACAAAATGTCGGAATGAAGCTTTATTTAAAAAGTGTTGTAAAATAATCCTTATTGAATTAAATACGATGTACATAGTATATTTTATATTTAACAATTCTTTTTCTAATTTTTGCATTAAATAGCTTTAAGCAAATTTGAAGAATCTGATTATTTCATATTGTGAAAGAAAAATATTAAATAGTACTACAAATTTTGGCAATTTTTATTTGAAACGTATTGTCCATTTGAAAAGTAATACTAACATTGTATCTAATATTATACATATGTAATATCGTGATATAATGTGTTTACAAAGGAATGAATGATACAGATGTTAATTGGACAGAAAAGACGATTGTGGTTCAAGACGATTGTTGTTCAACCTGAACTATTCACGCCAAACGTACAGAAAGCAGCACAACTAAATGATTAGAATACGACTCGACTTTCACAAAATGCAATCAACACTCTCTCGGTAACGCCACTCGCAAGCTCTGCTTCTCGACTCCCACGCTGCTTCTCGACTCCGCACTCTCTGGCCGTTGTAGCATTCTATTGTCTTTTACTAGGCCCACCGCACACGTGTTCTGCAGACGCTCGTAGCTAGGGTCACGTAGGTCCTTTCTACGAAACTGTGCACTTGAAAAGACCCATGACACATTGATGGACCCGACGGCGCCTCGGCTCTCGCGACATTGTTCGTGGTTCGCCCGATATCTCTTAGGCTTTTCGTCCACGATACTACACATATATATACAAAATAAAATAAAATAATACAAAATAATATAATAATAATGGTAATATACAATAATAATACACAACAATATAATATGTAATTATCTTGCGAAATACGAGGAAAGAAAAAGAGTATAAGGAATAGTAGAAATCTTATACAATATGAACTTGCTTACATATATGGGAACTGTTAAATGGTTAGTTTCCGTCATTATATTTGTTTATGTGTTCTATAGCTCGAGGATCTAGTATTTTATGGTTCTTGATAGATGATCTTAGTCTTAATGATGGCATTTGATACGCACATTTTCAAGGAAAGCTTCATTGTATTTATTATTCCGCAGCTTTCAGAAGGGGAGGGCAACCCTCGACTGCAGCGGGGAAGAATAGGGGTTTATATTGCAGAGGAGGATGAAGCGGCGTTTCTGTTGCGGATCGGTGTGTTACCGATATCGCTCCGTGCTCTCCTTCTGCAGTATTATGTGCTTGCGGAACATGGTTACCGCCTGCTATGATCTCTTACTGTCTAGCATTGCGCGGATGGTTTTAGACTAGCGAGATGCCCTATTTACACACTATACTACTCCGAAGCAACTATGCCCGATGATACCTGCCTCATGCTGTAGGTCGGACTACCCTTCCCTCTGTCCAACCAAGTTTCAAAGCTTGATAGGACTACCTTGACCGGCCTCCGATTAGCATCGCCAGATTGAACGCTCTGACGACGCTACGATGTAGAAGAACTCATCAGGCTCGGACGCAATTCTTTCTCTCTTCTTTCCTTTTATGTGCTGGAAATATCCAAAAACACTCCATAGCCCCTATAGAGAGGATGCAGGTAGTGCGGGATTCTTACTTCTCTTTACTTCAATTCTTTCGGTATCCATCTTCGAACGTGATAAGAGGGGCACAGTGAATACTGAGGTACATCACCAGTATCGCCCGCGTCCTTGCCTTTGTTTTTACAAAAGTCTTGGAGCTGGATGGACTAACCCTCTTCATGCACATCCGGTGCAACCATCCTTGGGGGCTCGTTTGTGTGCTATAACAAACCGGACCCCTATTCGAGTTGTGTGCAGCCACGGCGGCTACGGAAGCCACCATTTTCCTGAGCTGCTGTTTTTTGCAGAGTACTCCCGCACGGTCAGGGTGACTCGCCACAGTCTACGACTAGTTCTCGACCGCACGCATGTCGCTTAACCACAGCTACTGCCAGTCTTCTTGGTCCTCTTCGCTCGGAGTTTTTTCTTTCAGTGTGTTCAGTTCCGTTCCATTGTTGCGCTACCTTTTTCATCCGGTCGTACATCACCGTTATTTCTTCGTGTACGGTTGGGCGCCCCTAAGCCATGGCGATGGGCAGACTGGCGCAAGTCGGTGTCCTTTTCGCCACAGTGCCTCTTCTTCGCACTGGAAAATTCCCTTTTTGATTCGCAGATTGCTTTGCATTTACGAACTTTCTCCTGAAGTTTGGTGGTAGAAAAAATACTTTTTCCACTTTTGTGGAAATCGAACCTGGATTCTCGGAGTGACTCTACTAGTGAGGCCTATTATTTTTTCTTTTCTTTTCACGTAGTGTGGTATTTTTATCGACTAAAACTCTCACAATGACTTTCATCGAGCGCGATGGGTTAACCGCATGATCTCAACGGATATCATCCCCGCGCCACTGTTCTCCTCAGAGAGGTGTTCTTCCTCTAAAAAGACGATTTTATTCCTCCTTCCCACCTCCGGAGGTAACTAACGTCTACACCCACTTTGACGCCTGAGCCCTCGCCCGAATCGCTGCCACTCCGACCGCCCTGCATGGGAAGAGAGTATTTAGGACTCCCATATTACCCACTTCGTAGTCAGATCAGCCGGTCGGAGTACTCAGTTCCAACGACGACTAGAAAGTTCCTTTGTGACGCTTTTTCCCCTTTCACGCGCGCCCGCGTGAATTACTCGGTTTCGTCGGCTCGTCATACTCAATGGGCTTACGCACGCTGGGCTCAACCGCATAATTGCGACTCCATAACTGGGAGTCCAAACCTAACCCAACCTAATTCAAATCGACTTATGAAGATCGAATTCTTGAAAGATGTAATGGACAAATCTTTATATCCTACAGGTAGTATTTAAACGATGTGAAGTGAATTTTGGGTATTGAATTTGGGGTTAAATTCATATGTATTAATCTTTATTTTTGCTCATAATGCTTTTCTGTAATTTTACGCCAAACTTTTAAAGTGAGAGAAAAAGTAAAAAAAAGGAAAGAAAAAAAATGACAAAACTTAAGAAACGGTTTGATACCATATATGATAAATTTAACAATAAAATAAATTTAGTTGAATACATAATCTCAATAATAAAGTTAATTAATCACTGTAATGTTTTACAAAGAATGTTTGTTAATATAGGAAGTATGAATATAGAGCCTCTTCGTGTGTATGCGGGACTACTGATGACGTCATTGAACAGTGCTGGAGTACATATCACTCTTTTAAAATTATCTGGAGATGATAAAAGTTTCTTCCTTGGTTGCCTAGATGCACCTACTGTTGCACCAAAGTGGCCAGGTTGCGTATATAGTATTTCTACAGAAAATGCACGAAAGGTTGTTCAAGATCCAGTAGTACGGACAGTGGAAACAATTGGAATGGAAATTACTCTCGAACTACAGAACTTATTAAAGCAATGTTTGAAAAGTGCTTGTGAAAGTATCATTCAGAAAGAAACTCATCTTAATGATCTAGATAGAGGATGTGGAGACGGTGACACAGGATCGACGCTTAACAGACTTGCTACTGGTATGTATGCCACATCATGCCTAAGAATAAATACAAAATTTCCTGTATTATTTAATGATGATCGTTGAACCCTTCTACCAAAATTCAACATTATTGTTCTGCATTTTATCGGTATATATCGGTATATATCGGTACTTTTTACGTATTAAGGTCTTATGTATGTCCTAAACTCCTAAGACTAATAACTCCTAATCTTAAGTATGCCTGAAAAATTGTTAACAATTTATCCAAATATTTAAGTACCTATTTGATCCTATTTGAAACATTGAATTATAGAGAATTCATATATTGAACGTTCAATTTGATATAATAAAATCTAATTTTTGTTCTCTTCATCTATCTTCCGATCACTTTGATCAATTTCAACATATATGTTGTTAGATCTTCGCACAACTACTCGGGTTTATGTCACGGATGCTATTTTGCTGAAATGTTCTAAATCCTTTGGTTTTCGTTTAATTTTTCCTGTTTGGAATCGAAGATTGAGATTTAGAAATTACTTTATGGTTGTGGAATTACATATCTACGAACCAGACGAGTTATTAAACCCTTGCATTTACACATGTACAGCAATGGCGCAGCGTAAACCCGTAATTCACACATAGAAAATCAGTGCATGAAATTCTTACTTGTCGTACCTAATTCACATCTCTCTCTTTCTGATTTTGGAATACCTTGGTGACTTCGGGTATTAAACGAATTGCCTAAGCGGCAAGACAGCCACTGATTTAATTAAGTAATCGTCCAACGTCATATTCAGTAGGACGAACACGTCCAGATATGAAGGTTTATTCTAATAATAGATTGTAATCTTTTTTCAAATACAAGTTTGTAAAATATCTTCAATTAACAGTCAATAAGATATATTTTCCAATAAATAATATTTATTGGAAATATTTTTTATTTTCCAATTTCTTAGCTAAAACATTTTTGAAATTTTCAAAAATATTATTTTCATTTAAAAATATTATTATCAAGTTTTGAAGATTAATATCAAAATGAACTACAGATATACTAAATACTACACTATATGTTAATCCATTTCGTAAGTTTCTAATAATGCCTCGTGATTATTTTCTTTTTTTTTGTATGAATCAATTACGATACGATAATTATTTCTAAACAAAACACATAACAAATTTACATATCATAAATTAACTACAATTTGAAGAAATATGATGACATTTCTTTAGATTTTTAAATACAACATGTTAGATAAAAAAGTGCGAAGTGAAACTAGTTATCATATACGATTTGAGCAATCGTAAAAGGTCATATTTTTCTTTTGGTTAGCCAGAAAAAATGATATTAAAAAAAAGAGACGAATAATTTAAAGTGGACTACATATTCACGACCATATCTTTTTTTGCAAAAATGTACGTGCATAATTAGAAAAAATGTTTTAATTAAAGAAGATACACAAATGTCTCTCCATTAGTTTTAAACAGTTCATATAATGCTTTTTAGTCGTTTTTATGAACGACTTCAGTTGATCTCTGATTATTGCTTTACAATTTACTCTCTTTTGTTCATTTACATTTTCTATAAAATTTAAAGGTTATGACTATACCTTATCTTTAATTAAACCCATAGAAAAAAATCTGAATTAAATTCCCAATATTTCCAACAAATGATGCTCCAGTGCATTCAGGATGGTTACGCAATTATTTGCACGTACATATTGCAATAGGTACTTTGGATAGGCTCATTCAACTTAAACCCTGTAGTTATAAAACACTTACTGCAAATATATATTTTCTAAAAAAATGAGTATAGAAATTCATATTTCAATAATTTCCTCAATTTGCCGTAATTTTTATTAAAGGCAATGTAGTATAGAAATATGTGTATAACATACAGATTTTGTATTAACATTGTTGGATTTATAATGAGATAAGAAATTGGAGTTTAAATAACAAGGGAGACTTGATCTAATAAATAATATTTTAATACAAAAAAGGTATCTTTTCATAAATCTTATATATCTGCAATGATTCTCATAATATTACTGCTTCTTCTTGCTTACAAAACATGCACGTGACATATGCGGTGACCCCGTTCTGATAAAATCTACTGAATAATTGCCTGACGCATGTGCGCTCGCATACTCTTAAACAAAACAGAAACAAATATATGTATGTAAATATCATTCCTGATTTATGCATATATTAAAGTTATATCAAAACTTAAACATTAATAGTAAAGGAGATATTTACGTGTTCGGTTTTGGCAACGTAAACACGCCCTGTATATAATTAATTACCAGACTGTGAATTTTTCTGTATTTATAAAAAATTTTAATATGCAGAAGTATACAAAATGAGTATAGTATGCAGAAATGTATTAAATATCCGAGATAAAATACACATTTTGTAATATCTCTGTGATAAAATGAAGTAAATTTTTATTGAAATTTTATGTTTTACTTATATTCGTACAAATATGAATTTGAATAAAAGTCTGCAGTTTATTAATTAATATCATTTTTTTATACAGAAAATACGATCGAATTTAACTAAATTTCTTTGATAAATATTTATTTTCAGGAATTTTAGGAAATTTAGACAAGTTTCAATTCTCACACCCATCATCAGTTTTTACTGAACTAGCTCATATAGCCGAAGAAGAAATGGGTGGCACTTCTGGAGCATTGTACTGCTTATTTTTTACTAGTATTACCACAGAATTAGTTTCAATTTCTGAAAAAGAAGGTTGGCTGCAAATTTGGGCACGTACATTTCGCAGTGGTCTAAATTGCTTAATAAAATATGGGAAAGCGAAACCGGGTGATAGATCCATGGTAAGTTTTTAGAAATATTTATTATATAACATTACAATAAACTTTTGATAATTTTCCAAACATATTCGGGATTTGAATAGTTGGTGTTTAACATTGTAAATAATTAAATCTGCATATTATGTTACTTAAATTTTGCTACGCCACCTGTGACATGATCGATAATCTTTTTTGCTTCAATGATATTTTTGTTAGTTGTCACGAGGACGACGAATTAAATACATGTGTATATTATGCTGCACAATAACAAAACTGTACTGTACTGTAATCCGGATTTATCGATACACTTTCTACACTTTCTAAATGGAAAAAAGAAAAAAATATTTATTTAAAAAAAATAAGAAATAAGAAATTAAATCATATTATTTCTGGTGAAATTCTTTAAAATGGTCAATACAATAAACTGATATAGGCGAGATGCTGACAAACGGGTCAAACGTAAACTCTCACATCTGAAGAATGCTTGGCAACTGAAATAAAAAGCAGTCACAGTGCGCGTAATAATCCGCACTTGGTGATAAAAGACAGTCGTCCGATTGCGGAATAATCCGCGCTTGGTGATAGAAGACAGTCGCAGCGTGCGGATTAATCCGCGCTTGGGTGCAAATGAGTTAAGGCAATAAAAAAACTTTGTGTACGGAAATATTGTTTATTTTTTCAAATTTTATATAATCTCATTGTACACTAAGAATATGTTAGCAGCTGCCGTAGGTTAATTAATTGACTCATAAACTTTTCTGTCTATTTCATTCACACTTCATTTCCTCACTTTACTTTATTTACTTTATTCACTTTACTTTACATTTACTTGCATTACGGGCACTCTGTATATTTTCTCCTTTACTATTTGTACGAGGTAAGTTGCTGTCTATGTATCGTTCGATTGGATTCTTGCGCACCCCGCTGGTTAGCCTGACCTACTTTTGTTCTTGTAAGGAGGATTGCTCGCGCACAGGGATATTTCGGCTAATTTTTAATTGTTAATAACTAAAAAACAAAGCTGAAGATGCAATTTTTAATTCTTGATTTTCATATCTTATTTTAGCTTTAAGAAACACCCCTTACATTTTTTACACCTATAGCAGAACAGCCTGTATATAAATTGTCGAATTCTGATGTGAAATCTGTCGTTTAGAGACCGTTGGGCTTCTTATCGTTCAAACATACATCCGCTGTTCGTCAACTAGTCCAAATGAGCCCAGGTATTGTAGTACGAAAGTTAAATTAATTTTTATTTTTTTTTGAACTGATTTATTTAAATCTGAGTCCTGTGAGGTGTTTTGTTGTTTCTCAATTTGTTCCTTATTTTTACATTCGATGTATTCACAGCAGAGCGATACAAAACGAGGTAATAAAGATCAATTCGTAGAAAGTAATCGTTAACAAATTTTAAAGTACGATGTAGAAGAAAATGTTTAATAAAAATAAAAAATAAAAAAAGGTTTGTAAAAATTGGAACAATATTATTGTAGTTTATTAATAATTCTGATAGTTGAATGCGATTTTAAATAAAAAAAATTGCAGTTATATATCAGATAAACCAAATCCAAATAATACAATATAATAAAAAAAAAGAGCTATATGTGGGTATAGAATCGGATGCACTTGCTTGTTTGGAAGGACGGCTTCAGAAGCGTACAAGGACATGAAATCGTTGCGCGAAAATCCGCGAGGCATGTTTTCTTCTTGCCTCATTTCGTTTCGCTTGTCTTCTCCTTATTGCAACGCCAACTTTAAGAGCTTTTAACGACAACCACACTGCCTAATTATACTTCTAATAACAGCTCACAGGTGGCTCGCGACGTTTGATTGTAGCAGTAAGCGTATATATTAAACTGTTGCAGTTTTCAATATTGTTGCGACAGCTAGTTTCGAGTTAAGTGGATAACTCCGTATATCAATGTGTGATTAGGAATCATAATTCCTACTTAAGAATTAACCGTTGCATTAAACGAATTAGCGTTTTTGGCGTTTCTATGCCAGGCATATTTTTATTTCAATATAAAATATTGCTAATTATTTACAAATCGGACGACTTCACAGATTTATGTGAGCTTGAAATATGCTGTCAAGATTAAGATATCAAATAACTTTTTCCTATAGTAATTCCTTTTTCCTATACGGTAACATATACAGGGAAAAGACGTTCAGAATGTTGATCATGATAACATCTTCCAAGATCATTGAAATCGGTAAGGTCATCTGATTTGTAAATAAATAGCAAAATATTTTATCGATGTCATTGAAATCACAATTCAATATGTTTATTGAACTATTTAAATATGAAATTAAATTTAATATAATTAAAGCGACGTTTTTAGCTAGTTTAGCTAACGTTTAGTTTTTCTGTGCTAGATTGCGTCATACCGCGTATCTCGTTTCGCGTACCATCGCTTTCGTGAGAGATCGTTAGCAATCAATTTGTCACGCATTTCGAGTACAGCTCGTCGTTCATATCAGAATCAAGCACTTCGTTCGCCGCATCATCTAATCTGTGTCACATTTCTTGTTTTAATGTGTTTATTACTATTTCAGTTACAGAAATATGCATGTAGAAATTATACGAAACGCCACATATAGGTATACCGTAGATACAATATATTGAGATCTGAAGATGGCGGTATGGAGAGGACCCGTTCAGGTTGCTCTATACTCTGCAACCGAAACTATTAGGAAAATAAGGAAATCCGAAAAAAGAAGTTGACTAGAGTGTTGTGCCAGTGTGTGTGTACGAAAGTGCGCAAGAAAACTGGTAAGGGATGGATGGGGTAGGGAAGTACAGAAAATTCAGCCCTGTCGATGAGGCAATAAGGAGGTCATATTGGGACGCGCGCCGACATAGCCGCCGCACGGGCAACTTCGGAAACAACCCGAGAGCACGTGCGCGTAGGACCCCACTGTGTCGGCATCCCATGATCACGACTGTTCGGGAGTTGACCGCCAGGCCACCAGATGAGCTCCTGTATCTGGAGAATATTAGCAGGAGACAGGAAATGGAGGGAGGAGTGGAGCTTGCGTCAAAGGTGACCAGGAGATTCATGAGAATTGCAGACAGGATGGACAGACCAGAGAGTTCGGGCACGGACCGGGTCATGGCGCCAGCGCCGGATAATACACCGGAACAACCACTGCAGGACTCTCGCAGGGAAGTGCGAGTTTGCACATCGAAGAGGCGTTGGCCTATGGGGTTTCGTCCTCATCAACTATGTCCAGGGTACGAAAAAGGAAACTGACATCCACAGTCCCAGATGTATCTGTGGAGCTGGTCTTGGAGATAAGAACGTCCTCGATAGTTGACATAAGGACTGAGCTAATTCGGTGGCTCGAGGAGATAATATAGGTGGCGACGACATCGTGGAATCTGAAAATCATCTACATCAAGACCTTAAAGGAGGCGGCAAGCACCATCGCTGCTGGTACGATGGTAGTTGACAAGGAGGACGGGGTTCGCTTGCGGTATTGGAGCTACTAGGCTGGCGGAGATACGTGTGACGGTGCTGGAGAAGGAGATCGAAGTCCATCGGAAAGAGCAAACCGGAAAGGCCATTTACGGTCGTCAGAAGAGTGCACGGTGCAACGTTTCCACTTCAGAGCTGGGCCTCCCAAGAAAGATGATGTGAGCGGG